GTTGAGCGCGCCGGGGCCGTACGGCAGGAGGTCGGCGCCGGCGGCGTGCCGGCCCCCGTACTGCTCCATGGAGTTGAGCGCCGCACACATGCGGCTGATCTCGCGCGCCGTCGTGGCACTGTAGTGCGCCAGGCTGGACTCCTGCAGGTTGGCCGGCTCGCCCCGCGGCGAGTAGCGGTAGTCGGAGTAGATGTTGGACGCCGAGCTGTAGCGTCTCATGGGCAGCGGGTGGCTCAGCAGCTCCGAGGGCTGGCGGAGGTCCGAGAAGGAGCCGTACTGCGCGCCGTGGCCCAGGAAGCCGCCTTCCGTGAAGCTGACGCTGTAGGAATGCTTCATGGTGCTCAGATCGACAGCGGCGTCGCCGGCGGCACCGTGGAAGGGCTGATCCCCCTTGGTGGGGTAGTAGTTCATCCCCATCTCGGACAGGTTCGTGTCCGACATGGAGGAGTAGAGCCTGCCGAACATGCCCGCGGGGTAGAACTTGTGCTCCTCGTAGAGCGCCGGCTGCTCCCGGTACGGGAACGCCTCCGGCCCCTCGGCCTCCTTGCTCCCGTAGTAGGGGCCGCCGGGTTTCCTGCCGGCCACCGCGTCCCCGCCTTTCTTCTCCGGCATCTTGGAAGAGGGGTTGAAAGCTCCGGTGCAGCTGCTGCCGAAGGGGAACTTGTAGACCACGTCGCAGCAGGCCACTTGGCTCTCGGACTTCATGCCCGTGAGGTCCAGCACGCTGCCCGGCGGCTCTTCTTTGACCACTTTGGTTACGGGGCCGGCTGCCACGTCCTCCACCTGCACCATCATCACCTGGGATTTCTTGCCTCCCAGCGCCATGAGGGGGCTCTGGCTTTTCAGCTCCACCGGAACGGCGCGGTACAGCTCCGAGCTCGGCTCCGGCGGGAACGCCTGCGCGACGCTGCTCATGCCGAGCACGTTGGGCGCGTTGGCGCTCTGCGCGAGGAGCACGTCCTTCTTCACCAGAGGTGCCATCTGGCTGGGCAGGTTGTACCTCGCGAACTTGGCCGGTTGTGGAGCGGCCGCCTCGGCTTTCCCGGGAGCGGCGGCGCCGCTCGCTCGGAAGGCGCCCGTCTGCACGCCCTGCTCCACTTGCTTCGCCTGCGCCAGGCACACAGGGCTCCCGGCGCCCTGCCCGAAGTCCATCCTGTTCTGGAAAGGGTCTCCGTAGACCACGGGCTGCTTTGGCTGCGAGAGGAGCAGCGGGGAGGCGATGGCGACGGTGGCGCTGGTGGCCGCCGCGAGGACGGCGTGCGGCTGCTCTTGGGCGTTGAGGTTGATGATTAAGGGCTGGATGGCCGTGGACTGTCTGCTTGGGATTTGGTCCAGAGTGAGGCAGTACTTCCTAGTCTCCGTAGCCAAGGAGGTGAGGTCCATGCCTTGGTCCGTTATGATGATGGGGGCTGCCTTGATAGCCGTGCGCAAGTCCACGGCGTTGCTGCTCGGTGCCTTGGGCCCGGGCTCCACTCGCGACGTGCCGGGGATCGAGGAGATGCGGCACAAGGAGATGTTCTCGGCCGGGAGCGCCCCCCAGGCGTAGAGCCCCGCGGCGACGGGCCCCTTGGGGCCGCCCGCCGGCGGCTCCTTGGCGGGTGGCACCTTGCCGTAGGCGCCCGGCAGCTCCTGCTCCAGCGTCTGGCTGTAGCTGTGCACGGTGGGCGGGCGGCTCGGCGAGCCGGCGGGAGACGCCGAGTCGCCGCCCGCCCGCGTCTGGCTGGAGGCGTCGGCGGCCAGCGGCGCGGGCGCCTCCTG